TTTTTTTTTTTTTTTTTTTTTTTTTTTTTTTTTTTTTTTTTTTTGTAGGAATGGTATTCATCACCAATCTAATTGTAATCTCTATCTGTTTTGTTTGTGTTTTTGTAGTAATTCAGTTGCTTCAGTGTAACGTTTCTTGAAATCTTGTCCATACTCTCTATTGCTTCTGCTGTGGGTTTATTAATGAAGGCAAGATCTCTTAATTTAGAAGTTCAAACTTTTTGTTGGCCTTGGATATGTTTTTGTGCCCTCCATTTTCAAAGAACCTGCTGCAAGTGTCGGTTAAGAGGGATGGATAAGTTTCTCTGTACAGACACCCAATTTCTGGTTTCCTTTATTACGAAGAGATTCGAGATATTATCAGTTTATTCATAACGTTTTAGTTAAGACGATTGTAGTAATGGTATTCATACCATCACCAGTCTAATTGTAATCTCCAGCTGTTTTTTTTTTCTTTAGTAATTCAATTGCGTCAGTGTAACTCTTCTTGAATCTTGTTCATACTCTCTATTGCTTCCATTGTGGGTATATTAATGATGGTTAGATCTCTTAACTCAGAAATTCAAACTTTTGTGGTCTTGGATATGTTTTTATGACTCGGTGCCTCCATTTTCAAGAACGTACCGCGAGTGTCTGTTGAGGGATGGACAAGTTGCTCTGTACAGACACCTCAAATGTCTGAAGTTTTTTAAGGTGGATCCTTTCTCTCTGGTCATTTGGGTTACGTATGCGAGTGTATTTGTTGTAAATCAAGATTAGTTTGAGTATGTTATCACTGAACTTATGCACCTGAGTTTAGAATTAAAAACAAATTATGCTGCAGTTTATTTTTACTAAGCTAACATGATCATTACTAGGCCTGGGCATAAAATCCGTAATCCGAAATCCGAACCGAACCCGAACCGAAAAATCCGATCCGAACCCGGTCCAATATATAAAAAATACCCCAATGGATCTTGTACGGTGGTATGAAACATATCCGAACCCGAAGTGTTATTAACCGAACCCGAATAGGTAACCCGAAAAAACCAAAAAAACAAGAACATCCAAAAATATATCCGAAGAAACCGATCCGAATATCCAAACTAATATACAATATAATTATATGAAACATAAAATATATACTTCAAATATTAAATTTCATATTTATTTTGATATGGTATCAAACAATAAGTATTTAAAATTTAAATAAGTATCTTAAATACTTAATTATATATAAATAAGTATATATTTCTTATGTTTTCCTTTTAAATTTTAGATTTTACTTCGGGTATATCCGAACCGATCCGATATAATCCGAACCCGAATGATATATGGTTACTTTATGGGTTCTATGATGTGATACAAAACCGATCCGAACCCGATGTGTTATATCCGAACTCGACCCGTAATTACAAATTTACTAGAATGGGACCTATGAGGTGGTATAAAAAAGAACCGAAATCCGAAAAACCCGATCCGAACGCCAACGGGTACCCGAACGCCCAGGCCTAATCATTACTAATAATAGAAAATTATTAGAATGTTATAGAAAAGTTGGTATATTACTAGAATAATATATATTTTCTAAAAATTACTAGAATGTTTTTAGACTCCTAGTAAATTACAATAAACACTCTTGTTTAATTTTATTACTATTAATACAAATTTTAATTATTAAATCCACATCATAATTAGGCAATCTACGTCACTAATTTGTGTCATCAACAGTGACACTGGAAAATCAACCGTCTCATATCTTCGGTGAATAAAAAAAAAGTCGTAATGTCACAACTTCTTCGTCACAACTTCCGTTAAACCCAAACCGAGTACGAAATCACGAAATCATCTTTGTCACAACTAATATTCTCGTATCAAACTGTTTACGATATTGTAAATCATCTCCGATATCATCTTCGTCGACATCCTCTTCTTCGCAAAAGTATCGACGCAATCGTATCTACGACATCATCTTCTCCTGTATGTTGTGGCTGAGTTTGATTTATATTGTGACCGAGTTTGATTTACGACGTGGCTGAGTTATAGATTATCTTGTAACCGAGTTATTGTATAGTGTGGCTGAGTTGAGTTTGATTTACGTTGTGAAAAATATAGTTTTCCATTTTGACTGAGTTATAGATTATGTTGTGGCTGAGTTATTGATTATATTTTGGCTGAGTTATTGATTAATGTGGTTGAGTTATAGATTATGCTGTGGCTGAGTTATAGATTATGTTATGGCTGAGTTATTGTTTATGTTTTGGCTGAGTTATTGATCATGTTTTGGCTAATTTATTGATTATGTTTTGGCTGAGTTTTGTTTCTATTACGACTACGTTATATGGTGGCTGGGTTATTTATCATGTAGTGGCTGAGTATTGTTTCTATTGCAGCTGATTTATATATATATATATATATGTGTTTTCGGATTAGATGGCTATTTCTGAAGATCAAGCACGGGATTATCCTCCATGACTTTAAGATGAAAGGGATTCTAATCTAGAAAATAAAGAGATTAATCACAATTTACAGATGGGATATTTTCATGATGTCAGAGAAGCAATAAGACGGGATGTGTGGGATCACATGAGGCAGGGTCCTCTTGGAATTATTGTTAAGCTAGCTGAACGCAAAAGCGTGTGGTCTAGTAGGACTGTCCACTATCTACTATGTCGACAGCTTCGAGTATAGAAGAAGGATATTTGGAGTCTAGTTGGTGATGAACCTATAAGATTTAGCTTACACGAATTTGGTGAGATCACTGGGTTAAACACAGATCCAATGCCAACAGAAAGTTTTGAACATGACCAATACAAAGCATTTTGGGAGGAGTTGAATCTGCCGCTTGGGGTGGGACCCAAGTTAGATGAACTGAAGGCAGCATTAGAGGTATGTCCGGCCTGGAGTTTTGAAAAGCGTAAAATGGTTAGGGCTGTTACTTCTTCAAGCCATGGGACTTTATGCTTTGCATCATAATTCTAGGATACCGTTTGAAAGTGCAAAAAGATTCGACGATGAAGCCATGATGACGTATTTATGGGGTTGGACTGCATATTAAGTTCTTGTTGACTCTATTAAGATGTTGAATCCACAAGGAATGATATACACCATAAGCGGTCTGAAGGACGTGTTATTGGTTTGGGCGTATGAATCTATCACTTGTTTTGGAGAGCGTTTTGGGAGAGTGGTAAATGAGCAAGAAGTTCCACTTTTTCGATGGGGTGGAAAGCGTACACGTTCAAGTTTTGATACTGTCATTACTGAGGAGATTAGAGAACATGGTGAGGTAAGACTGAGTTTTTTTTGTATTTGATGGCTAAGTTAGTATGTATATAGTGGCTAGGTTTTTTTGGTATTAATTATCTGACGGCTGAGATAGTGTTTACATGATGGCTGGGTTTTTGGTACTTTGTGGCTTAGTTATTAGTTATTTTATGGTTGAGTTATTAGTTGTTTTATGAACACATCAAAATAAAATAGTATTACAGCAAAAAAAAACGCAGCCACCATATAAACACTATCTCAGCCTCTTGGTTTTATTTATTTGATGGCTGAGTTAGTATGTATATAGTTGCTGAGTTTTTTGGTATTAGTTATTTGATGGCTGAGTTATTATGTATTTATATGGTGGCTGGGTTTTGGTACTTTGTGGCTGAGTTATTAGTTATTTTATAGCTGAGTTATTAGTTTTAACGGCTGAGTTATTAGTACTTTGATGCTGAGTTATTATATATTTGGTGACTGGTTTGTAGGTGCGCGTGAGAAAAATGGTTATGAAGAACTCCGTAGAAGAGATGTTTCCTCAGTGGCCGGATGAAGCAGATGACCCGCAACTCGTTAACTTGATAACAGACATATATCGGTTTATTAGAGGTTTTTGGGGAACACAGATAAAACACAAACAAACAAAGGCTGGTGTTTCGTTAAAGGCTGAGCCACCCATTAAAAAGCAGAAGAAAGTGAGAAGCTTCCAAGAGGATGAAGCTGTTGTGGAGGGAAAGGGTACTTGCGAGAAGGAAGGTACGGATGATATTGGGAATAATCCAATAATGTAGAGATTAATGTATACTCTGGATAGAATTTCCTCAAAAATAAACAGCTACGATGACATATTCGAAAACTTCGAAGCGCGGTTATCCAGAATCGTGTCCAGAGATACGAACATTGTTGATTTTGTCAGAGTTGCAGTGGAGGAGTACTTCTCTAAAGTTCCCGAACAATCTTTACCGTTGCCATCACCATCACCGCCACTGCCACCACCGACGTCTTTTCCGCAGCACTCAGTCAATAGTCCACCTGCTAAGGCCTCTGTCAATAGTCCACCTGCTAAAGCTTCTGTCAGTAGTACACCTGCTAAGGCCGTGGAAAATAATTTGGTTTGACGACGTTGATTTTGTTGGTATTTCTCCTGCAAAGGACCCAGCCTTAGGACGCGGAAACAGAGTAAGGTTAAAACTAAAAGGAGATGAGGTTAAAGAGAAGGACAAAGAGGAGGCTGAGTTAGCAAAGAAAGAGGCGGCTCCTAAGAAGAACGAGGCGGCTGAGTTAGCAAAGAAGGAGGCGTATCCTAAGAAGAATGAGGCGGTTGAGTTATCAAAGAAAAAGAACGAAACGACTGAGTTAGGAAAGAAGCAGGCGTCTCCTAAGAAGAACGAAACGACTGAGTTAAGTAGGAAAGAGGCAGCTGAGTTAAGGAGAAAATAGACGGCTGAGTTAAGGCAACGAAAGGCTGAGGAAAAGAAGGCGTATGAGTTAAAGAGGAAAGAGAAGGCTGAGTTAAAGAAACATGTCACAAAAAGGGTGATGCGTCACAGTTTAATAACAGTAGCTGTACCTCAGCGAAACAGATTCAAGCCGACAGTGAGCTTGCGGATGTTACTGACGAATTTTTCG